CGACTCTCACTAGGCTAAAATGAAGGTGTCGCCTGCAATGGTGTCTGAAGCTTCAGACTCGCTTTCAAGCTCACTGGTAGTGGGAATAACTCAGCCCCTCATGGCTGGAGAATCTACTCCTGACTCTCCTGGGATTCACCCTCCTGAAAATGGCCTTTTCTGCAGAAAGGCTGTTTGCTTTCTCCAGGTAAACAGAAAATGTCTGTGCTGCCTGAAATCTCTCCGACTTCTTTTTTTTTTTTCTCCCTGACTTCTTAAGTCTGCCTTGTAGACTTTCTTTTATTTAGTTTCACTTTTTTTTTTTGAGATGGAGTTTCACTCTTGTCACTTAGGCTGGAGTGCAATGGTGTGATCTCAGCTCACCGCAACCTCCGCCTCCTGGTTCAAGCAATTCTCCTGCCTCATCCTCTTGAATAGCTGGGATTACAGGCATGTGCGACCACGCCCAGCTAATTTTTGAATTTTTAGTAGAGATGGGTTTTCACCATGTTGGCCGGGCTGGTCTCAAACTCCTGATCTCATGAGATCCACCCCCCTCGGATTCCCCAAGTCTGGGATTACAGGTGCGCGCCACCATACCTGGCTATTTTTTGAATTTTTAGTAGAGATGGGGTTTCACCATGTTGGCCAGGCTGGTCTCGAACTCCTGAACTCATGAGATTCACCCGCCTCGGATTCCCAAAGTGCTGAGATTACAGGTGTGAGCCCCTGTGGCTGACCAGCCCTGCCCAGTTTCACTTTTTATCTTTTTATGGACAGAGTGTCCCTCTGTCACCCAGTCTGCAGTGCAATGGTGTGATCACAGCTCACTGCAGCCTCGAACCCCTGAACTCAAGTGATCCTCCCAAGTAGTAGGGACCACAGGCATGTGCCACCATGCCTGGCTAGTTTTGAATTTTTTTTAGATGTGTGGTCCAGCTATGTTGTTCAGGCTGGTCTTGAACTGTGGGGCTGTTTATGCCTTGAGCTCCTGAAGGGCTGGCATTGCAGGTATGAGACAATCCAGGCCTGCTTTAACAGGGGTCACCTGGCCAAGGCGGGTGGATCACGAGGTCAAGAGATCGAGACCATCCTGGTCAACATGGTGAAACCCCATCTCTACTAAAAATACAAAAATTAGCTGGGCATGGTGGTGCCTGCCTGTAGTCCTAGCTACTCAGGAGGCTGAGGCAGGAGAATTGCCTGAACCCAGGAGGTGGAGGTTGCGGTGAGCCGAGATCACGCCATTGCACTCCAGCCTGGGTAACAAGAGCGAAACTCTGTCTCAAAAACAAAACAAAACAAAACAAAACAAAACAAAACAAAACAAAACAAAACAAAACAGTGGTCACCTGATAAGCCAGGCTCACGCAGAGCACACTCTCCTGTTTGAGTAGCTCAAAGTTAACTGGTTAGAGACCTTAATTCCACCTGGAAAGTTCCTGCACCTTTGCCACAGCAGTGTGGGAGCCATATCCCATAATATATTGGTTGCCCTTTCATGTTTAATGCGTGGAAATTATACACGGGTGTACCCACCAAAAATCATGGCTACCTCCCTGTGACCAAGAATCAGGGCTGCAGACATCAGAGGTTGTTGTTTTTCTCTTTCTGGGGTCCATTCAGGAGAGGGATGTTTTGCTCAAAAATGCTTCGGGAGGCCAAGCATTTTCCTTAAATGTTTTCTAAATGATCACCATCCTCCCTTGGTGCTTGCTGGTTCTGAAGGATGGGGTGTCTCATTCCGACTTTGCAAACACCTTCAGGTGAGTGGAGAAGGGGTTTCCAAATCTAACAGCTCCCAGGGGAGACACACAGCAATGGTAGGCAAAGCAGCCGTTGGAAAATAATTTTGAAGAGAACCCCAAATGCTTCGGTGTCCCTAAGGAGGGTGTATGGAAGGCAGCAAAGGGTTGTGTCTCTCTGAGAAGCCCGCCTGGGTTCACAGAATTGCCCCCCGCTTCCTGGGGCACCTGGAGCTTCATTTTCACCTTTGTCACATAAAGACTCCGGATCCCTAACACTCACCCTACGCCTTTATGAGCACCTGGGTCACACATGGGAAACGCCCCCCAAGTACCCACAAGCCCCTTTCTTTTCTTCTCTTCTCTCCCCTTCCCTCTCCTCTTCTCTTTTCCTTTTCTTTTCTTTTTCTTTTTTTTGAGATGGAGTTTCACTTTTGTCACCCAGGCTGGAGTGCGCTGGTGCGACCTCAGCTCACCACAACCTCTGCCTGCCGGGTTCACGCAATTCTCCTGCCTGAGCCTCCCGAGAAGCTGCGATTACAGGTGACTGTCACCACGCCTGAATACTTTTTTTGCATTTTTAGTAGAGATGGGTTTTCACCATGTTGGCCATGATTGTCTTAAATTCCTGACCTCAAGGGATCCACCCACCTTGGCCTCCCAAAGTGTTGGGATTATAGGTGTGAGCCACCTCTCCTGGTTACCCATTTCTCTTCTCTCCTTCCCACCACTCCCCTCCCCTCGCCTCCCCTCCCTTCCCTCCCTTCTCTTCCCTTCCCCGCCCCTTCCCTGCCCTCCCTTCCCCTCCCCTTCCCTTCCCGCCCTTCCCCTCCCCTCCCCTCCCCTCCCCTCCCCTTCCCTCCCTTCCCCTCCCCTTCCCTTCCCTCCCTTCCCCTCCCCTTCCCTTCCCTCCTTTCCCCTTCCCTCCCTTCCCCTCCCCTTCCCTTCCCTCCCTTCCCCTCCCCTTCCCTTTCCTCCCTTCCCCTCCCCTTCCCTTCTCTTCTCTCTCTCTCTCTTTTTCTTTTTTTTGACATGGACTTGTTCTCTTGTTGCCCAGGATAGAGTGCAGTGGCACGATCTCAGCTCACTGCAACCTTTGCCTCCAGGGTTCAAGTGATTCCCCTGCCTCAGCCTCCCGAGTAGCTGGGACTACAGGTGACTGCCACCACGCCCAGCTAATTTTTGTACTTTTAGTAGAGACAGGTTTTCACTATGTTGGCCAGGCTGGTCTCGAACTCCTGGTCTCAGGTGATCCAACTGCCTGGGCCTCCCAAAGTGCTGGAGAGGCCTGAGCCACGGCGCCCAGACTAAACCACTAAACTTTTCTGCCTGATGGTTCTGGAGGCTGGGATTGCCAGCTGAAGGCGTGACAGGTTCAGTGTCTGCTGGGGACCTGCTTCCCGGTTCACAGACCTTGCCTTCTGGCTGTGTACTCACAGGATGGAAGGGACAAGGGAGCTCAGTGGGGCATCTCTTTTAAGGGCGCAAATCCCACTCATGACTTTTAGAAGGTGATTAACCTATAAAAGCCCCACCTCTCACATGGTGGCCGTGGGAACTGAGTTTAAACTTGACTTTTACAGAAACACAAGCATTGAAACCACCGCGGCCTCTCACACATCCCGGCCCCTCTGAGCCCACCTGGGTTCACAGAAGCTCCCCCCTTCCCGGGGACTCTGGTGAGTTCATTTTCTCCTCTGTCACCAGGTGATGTTGACCAATGCAAGGTTCCTGCTCTGATTCTCTGACCCTGGATTTCCAGTGTGGGGAACTGTGATATATTTGAGATGTCTCACATAGAGCCTGGCATATTTAATAAATGATAAATTACAATAAATAAAAATGAATACTGCATTATAAATTGTCATTTATTATTTTATTCATTTTATGTATCTACTTATTTATTTATTATTTATTGATTTATTTTGAGACAGAGTCTTGCTCCGTTGCCCAGGCTGGAGTGCAGTGGTGCGATCTCAGCTCACTGCAACCTCTGATTCCTGGGTTCCAGCGATTCTCCTGCCTCAGCCTCCCGAGTAGCTGGGATTATAGGCGGCCTCCACCACGGCCGGCTAATTTTTTGTAGTTTTAGTAGAGATGGGGGTTTCACCATGCTGGCCACGCTGGTTTTGAACTCCTGACCTCAGGTATCTGCCTGCTTCGGCCTCCAAAAGTGCTGGGATTACAGGTGTGAGCCACCACACCCCGCATCATCCCGCCTCATTTATTATTTTATAATTACATGATAAATTGTCATTCATTATTTCATAATCATATTATAAATGATCATTTTATAATTACATCATTCCAAAATTACATTATGGTTATTGTTTATTATTTCACAATTACATTATAAATTATTTATTTTAGATTATATTATAGATTATCATTTGTTTCATGATTACCTTATAAATTATCATTTATTTTGTAATTACGTCATAAATTATCATTTATTGCTTCGTAATTACATTATAAATGACATTTATTTGAAACGAAGTCTCACTCTCTCGCCCAGGCTGAAGTGCAGTGGCACAATCTTGGCTCACTGCAACCTCCGCCTCCCAGGTTCAGGCAATTTTCCTGCCTCAGACTCCCGAGTAGCTGGGATTACAGGCGTGAGCCACCGCGCCAGGCCGATCATGTATTATTATATTGTTACATTACAAAATATCATTATTTCCTAATTACAATATAATTATCATTCATTTCATAATACCGTTACAAATTATCATTTGTTGTTTCATAGTTACATTACGTAATGCTATGCATTAATTATTAATAATACAATTCATAATTACTAACAATTCAATTAACAATTAACTAGCAATGCATAGTATACAATTCTGTTATTATGTCATAGAATATGACATCCAACTTATGCATAAGTTACGTAAGTATATTACACATAATAGTATAGAATCCCGTTGTAGGCTCATTTGACATTTTGGAATATTATTATATATATTCATGACCGTAATTGGAATTTGGACCCCACACCGGACCCCGTCCTTTTGGCTTAAGGGCGATGTGCGCAGACCCCGGCCCACCTTTGTCCCCTGGTTACCTGAAGGCAGGTGGCGGCACAAGGGCGCGGGGGGCTCGCGCACGCGCAGTGCAAAAGCCAGGGCTCCGGGAAGTCCTGCCTCCCTGGGGCGGGGCCAGGGCAAGAAGGAGAAGCCCGGTGCCGCCGCGCGGCCGCTTCCGCGAGCGCGCCCATAGGAAGCGGAAAGGCGTCACAGAGGGCGGGCGGTGACGGCGGTGGCGGTGGTTGGCGGCGGCTGAGGCTCCTTCGGAGGACGGTGGCGGCGCCTGGCGGGGAGGCCGTGCCTGCCCGGGAGTTGCCGGGGGACCGCAGGAGCTCGGGCCAGCGGCGGCGGCTGCCTGGGACGCAGGCGAAGCCCCGCGCCGGTGAGCGCCGCCCTGGCCTGGGTGCAGCCCGCGAACGCGTCCCTCCGCGGGCCGGGCCCGGGGGGCCGGGGTCTGGGGGCGGGGCCGGGGTGGTCTCGGAGGTGAGGGGGCTGGTTGGGGGACGTAGGGCGGATCCAGGGCTCTGGGAGCTCCCGGGGCTGTACAGGGGAGCCGGGGGCTGGGGAGGTCTGGGGTCGGGGTCCTAGGGCCCTTGGAAGTAGGGGTGCGGGCTGGAGCTGTTACTGGGACACCAGCGAAGGAGCTGAGCCTTGCAGCGGTTTCGGAGGGCTGGGAGCTCGGGGGATCGGTTGGGGATCCCCAGGGTTCTGCGGGCGGGAGACTGGAGGGGCCTTGGGCTGGGGGACGGGGCGCTGGCGTGGTTCCTAGATCTATTCTGGGAGGCAGGGGGCTGTAGAGGGGTTTCGGAGGCTGGGGCAGTGCTGTGTAGGTGGGGGCATTGCGGCTCATCCAGGAGTGCAGCGCGTTGGGGAGTGCTGGGGGTGCCTATTGGCCCGGGGCCTGGGAAAGTGTGGGGCCCTTGAGGGGCTAGGAGGGGCGGCCTGAGGCTGTGCTCGGGGGAGATGGGGTAGATGCAACTGCCAAGGACAGTGCCGGTCCCGGGGACTGCGCAGCCAAGTGCACCGGCGTGGTCGCGGGGCACTGGAGGCCAGAGTCGGGAGGTTTCCTCGGTGGTGAAGTTGGCTGGGGCGGCCTGGGCTCTCGGGGAGGGTCACTGGTACCTAAGCAGACTGGACCCCCTCCCTTATGCCCCACTGACCCTCTCCGCTGGCTTCTCCACCCTCCAGCACTTGTTTGACGCCACCTGCCTCGGGCCTGGGACTGGCAGGAAGCTTCCTGGTTGATGTGGTGGGCGGCGGGGCCGTAGGCAGTCACCTGGGATGTTCGTTCAGGTTTCTGTGAGTCAAGCTTTTTCTGCCCGGACTGGACCTTCAGGAAGTGGCTGCCTGTCGGCCCAGTAGGGAAGAGGTGGGTTGAGGAAGGTGCAGATGTGCAAGCTCCAGGCCCCAACTTTTGGAAAGGCCCTCGTACTTTTTGGCTTTGAGTGGGTAAAGCCAGGAGGTGTCTGGCCGTCGGAGATTGTTAGGGTTCACGGTTCTGGATTGTTTTTGTAGCCCGAGACTTCCTGTTTTATGAGTGCAAATAGTGGCTGCCGCTGCCTCCTGCCCAAAACCTTCCCAGAAGCCGTCAGCTGTGCCGTCCCTGCCCCTTGACTTCCCTTCACCAGGGTTTTTCAGTGCCAACGCGAGGAGCAGGGTGTTTGTACATTCTCTCTTCTTACTTGACCCGCGCCAGGGGCCTGGTCGTGCTCGGCTTCCTGTCCTGCAGGCCTTGGGAGCTGCTGGGTGCTGCGTGCTGGGTGCTGGGTGTCGGGTAGGGGTGGCCGAGGCTTTGACACTGACCTGTTCTCTGAGGCTTTCAGCTTGGCTCTTTCCCCTTTAGTGTACCCTTAATGGTTTCTAAAAGAAAGGAACTCCGTTGACAAGGGTTTTTCCAAGCTAGAAAGCAGTCTGACACTACAGAGAGACACTGCAGTTTCTGTCCTCTGGGTCCAAAGTGCCGGTCTTCATGGCGTGGGGAGGGGTGAAAGGGCGAGGGGGAGGTGGACGTGCTGGCGCTGACCATCTGCGTTTCACTTTTCAGGTCCCAGGTCCCAGAGGCTATGGCAGCGGCTACCATCGTGCACGACACGTCTGAGGCCGTGGAGCTGTGCCCCGCGTACGGCTTGTTCCTGAAGCCCATCACCAAGATGACCATCAGCGTGGCGCTGCCGCAGCTGAAGCAGCCGGGGAAGTCCATCTCCAACTGGGAGGTGATGGAGAGGCTGAAGGCCATGGTGCACAACCACCAGTTCTCCACGCTGCGCATCTCCAAGAGCACCATGGACTTCATCCGTTTCGAGGGCGAGGTGGAGAACAAGAGCCTGGTCAAGTCCTTCCTGGCCTGCCTGGATGGCAAGACCATCAAGCTCAGCGGCTTCTCCGACATCCTGAAGGTGCGCGCGGCCGAGTTCAAGATCGACTTCCCCACGCGGCACGACTGGGACTCCTTCTTCCGCGACGCCAAGGACATGAACGAGACTCTGCCGGGCGAGAGGCCAGACACCATCCACCTGGAGGGGCTGCCGTGCAAGTGGTTCGCCCTGAAGGAGTCGGGCTCCGAGAAGCCCAGCGAGGAGGTTCTGGTGAAGGTGTTCGCCAGGTTCGGGGAGATCCGGAACGTGGACATCCCCATGCTGGATCCGTACCGCGAGGAGATGACGGGCCGCAACTTCCACACCTTTAGCTTCGGGGGGCACCTGAACTTTGAGGCCTACGTGCAGTACCGCGAGTACGCGGGTTTCATCCAGGCCATGAGTGCCCTTCGTGGCATGAAGCTCATGTACAAGGGCGAGGACGGCAAGGCCGTGGCCTGCAACATCAAGGTGAGCCCCTCCCACTCTGAGGCTGCCTTGGGCAGGGGCAGCCCGGAGCTCTCAGCTACACCCCTTAGGCTGCAGGGACCTCCCCTACGTAGAATGACAGCAGCTGCCCTGGACCCTGTAGAATTTCAGAGGCCCAGGCGTGAGGTTGAGTAGGGGACCTGTGCTGTGGTTTTGCAAATTCTGTATCTCATGAAATAGGAGGAGCAGCCACACAGCACATAGCGGGTGAGGGGCAGGCCCTCAGGAGCCCTGGCAGGGATTTGAACCATGACAGAACCAGGAGAACCTGGCCTTCCCTGAATGCGCCTTGAAACAAGGCCTTAATGTTCCCTTTAGCTTTGTGTGCTGTGACCCGTGCTGGCTTCCGGGTGACAGATGAGCCGGCCTTCAGGAGGGAGGATTTGTGGCCTTAAGATGTGCCCCGTGGGTGTGGGCAGGGGGCCCTGTGAGCTGTTGTGTGTGCCTGTCTGTGTGTGTGTATGTGTGCCCGCTGCAGGCGTTCCGCTGCCTGTGAACCGGTGTGTTGTGTGTGCACTTTGCATGTGTGCATGTGGCGCGCTTGGTGAACGTGATCACAGGGAATGGTGGGGCCGGGTGGCGGAAGGGAAGCCGCGTCCGGCAGTGATGGCGCGTCACTTGTGTTTGCTCACTGGTGAGGGCTGCTTGCTGTCCCTTGTGAGTGCTGAGGGTGCTCAGGCCCTGAGGCCACCCCGTGGAAGAGGGCTCCGGGCCGCGTATCCCACACTGTTTTTGGCTCTTAAAGGTTTCTTTTGATTCCACCAAACACCTGAGTGATGCGTCAATTAAGAAGCGGCAGCTGGAGCGGCAGAAGCTTCAGGAACTGGAGCAGCAGAGAGAAGAGCAGAAGCGCAGAGAGAAGGAAGCGGAGGAGAGGCAGCGAGCGGAGGAAAGGTACCTTCTCTGGGAGCGGGCCGTCGGCGCAGGTGCCTGGCACCTGCCTGTGTGTGTGTGCGCGCGTGTGTACTCCCGTGCATGTGTGTGTGCGCGTGTACTTCCGTGCAAGTGCGCATGTGTACGCCCGTGCAGGTGTGTGCCTGTGTGTACTCCCGTGCAGGTGTGTGCACACGTGTATTCCTGTTTAGGTGTGTGCGCGTGTATTCCTTGTAGGTCTGTGCGCATACATGCACGTGCAGGTGTGTGTGCTTGTGAGCTCGTGTACCTATGTGTGTCTATGTATGTGTGCCTGTGAGCTGGTGTGTACTTTGCATGTATGCATGTGGACCCCAATGTGTGTGCATGTGCATCTGCACACGTGTCTGTGTTTGCATGCGTGCCTGTGAGGTTGTGTGTACCTGCGTGTGCGTGTACCCCCATGAATGTGTGTGCGCGTGCCTGTGAGCTAGTGTGTGCCCCCGTGTGCATGTACACATCTCTGCCCGTGGACCTTCTTGCCTGTGAACCGGTGTGTGTACTTTGCGTGTATCCGTGTGGACCCGAGTGTGTGTGCCTGTGCATCTGCACACGTGCCTGCGTGTGTGTGCCTGTGAGCTTGTTTGTACTCATGTGCGTGCGTGTGTACACATGTGTGCCCACGTGTGATTGCCTCTGCACAGGTGAGCTTGTGGACTTGTGCGTGTCCTTGTGCCCATGTGCACGTGTGGATATGTGTGTGTGTGAGGACCTGCGTGAGAGTGTGCGTGTTGCTGTGTTCCTGTCAGATGTTGTGGTGTGACACGGTGTCCGCCAGCTCCCACAACCGCGCCTTTCCCGAAGAGCTACCTGTTCTCCCTGCACACGGTGCTCACGTATCCTGCTGATACTAACAGAATGCCTTGGCCCTTTGCAATTTTGCATGTAGGTGGAGGCTGTGTTAAAAAGGAAGTAGGGCGTTGATGATGATGGCCAGGTTTAAAAAAACAAAAAGCAGCATTTGTAGCTCGTTCCATCTTCTTAGGATTGCAGAAGGTATGAGTGGAGGGGTGGGGAGCCGCCCTCCTCCATACCCCCCCCAACCCTCCTGTGATGACTGTGCGTCCCGCACATCGTGCTCCATCTGACTTGTCGGGGGGCTCCTGGACGGCCTCTGGGGTGGCCAAATTGGTTCGCGTCATTTCTTTTCCTTATGCTTTAACTGGCACTGTGTTTTGTGATACAAAACACTAAACTGTGTGTTGACGCACGTGGCTGATCTTTGCTGAGAGCCCCAGGACTGAACTCCCCATCCTGCGGGCGGTTTGTTCTACACACACCCCCTGCCTCCCCAAGGGTGAGTTGGGCTGTCGGCCTCTGCCGCTGAACTTCAGGGGCCTCCTTAGAAGGGACAGGCACCGTGTGTGAGCGAGTGGCCGTGAATGGGACCGGGGTTTGGGGGCCAGGACCCAAGGCAGGCAGTAGAGAGGCCGACGCCTTGGGAGGGAGGGACGTGCTATTCCTTGGCCATCCTGGGAGGAGGCCCCTAGGAGACACTGTTTTATTGTGGGGTTGAGTCAGGTCCTCCGTGTCAGCCGTTGTCAAGCCGACCGGGACACCCGGGGTGGGAGACTGTCCCGGGACATGACAGGGGCGTCTTCCAATGTGCACACGTGGCGGGGCCTGTCCGCATGGGTTCTGGAAGTGTGCAGTGGGGCCTGGAGTCTCAGACCCCTCAGCCCTGCAGGAGTTTCCCCGCGACCTTTCGGAAAGCAGCTTGGGGGTCAGGAGCAGAAGCCGCATCGTGGCCTTGCCCTGCGGGGAGACGGACGTAGGAGCAGTGGAGTGTGTGTGATGGGAAGTGGCCCTGTCCGCCTGGCCAGACCACAGGGCTTTTGTGGGCAGTGGGTCGAGGCCCTATGTTGTGGATGGCAGGACGGCATTTCGCTGTGGCTACAGCCTTGGCTTGGGGCAGGCCTGTGGTCTAGGGGAGCTGGTGGGAGGGCTCCAGGGTGGCTCGTGGGGCTGTGCTTCCCCAGGCAGGGCCGTGCTGGCACCCGCTGGCCCCACTGTCCTTCCTCAGGGCCTGAGCGTGGGGGAGGTCCAGGGTGGCCCCACGTGTTTTTACTGATGGGTGGAGATGGTGCGTGTTTGCTTGTAGAGCCCCCACGTGTAACTTGGAGTTAGTGAGAGCTGTCCTCTGAAGGCTGCCCAGCCTCGAAGTATGGGTGTGAGTCCTGCCTAAGGCTGCACTTCTGAGCGTGAGTGTGGGGCGTGACAGCTCACAGGGCAGTTAAACCTTGAGCACACCGCCACCTGAGGGCCTTCGTCCTGGCTGCCCACGACTGTTTGGTGTGGATCTCTGCCTGGGCCTCGGCGCCTGACTGCATCCCTTCTTGGGGAGGCGGAGCTCGGGATGCCTTTCCTCCTGGCCTGCTCCTCCTCGTCCCTGTGTGTCCTCTCGGTGTCTGCGTCACCCTGGCAGGCTTCGTTGCCTCACCAGGCAGTTGTTGGCACCCCCCACCCCCCACACCCAGGCGTCAGAAGTCTCAGCCTCTGTGTCCTGCCTGTTCCGGTGTCTGGTGGTGGTTTAATTAATTTGAGAGCTGCAGAGCCAGGGAGGGTGAGCTGGGGAGCTCCCCGTGTCTCTGGCGGACTCTGGGGGCTGCGCCGTTCACCCTTGTTTCCAGGATGCCTCGGTCTTTAGAAGTATGAGGAGCTGCGTGGCGTGGCTGTATTTCTTTAGAGGGAGACTGCCCCGTGCCAGCGCTGTGCAGGGCCCTCACGGGATTCCTGCACCACGTGGACTCACCCAGTGCGGCCCCTCCCTGGTGGGCTGAAACGGCCTCCCCCGTGCCACTGTGTTTTCCTCGGCTGCCTCAGGCCTGCTTGCGTTCTCTGGTGCTGGTGAGAGCTGCACGCACGGCTTCTGGGCTGCACTTTTCTTTCTTTTTTTGAGACAGAGTGTCACTCTGTCCCCCAGGCTGGAGTGCAGTGGCGCAGTCTCGGCTCACTGCAGCCTCCCCTTCCCGGGTTCAGGCGATTCTCCTGCCTTAGCCTCAGGAGTAGCTGTGAATTACAGACGCACGCCACCACGGCCAGGTGATTTTTGTATTTGTAGTAGAGACGGGGTTTCACCGTGGTGGCCAGAACTCCTGACCTTGTGATCTGCCCACCGGGGCCTCCCAAAGTGCTGGGATTATAGGCATGAGCCATCTTGCCCAGCCCTGGCCACTCTTAGGAGGTCCTGCTGTGTTTCGCCGCCACTGGGCTGCTGGGACGGGTCCGTCTGTGTGCATCTGCGTGTATCGTCGCCCCTCTGCTCGTTGAGGTCCCGGGTGGTCGTCACGTGGAGAACTGTACTGGCGCTGGGTGCAGTCGGACGACGCCACGTGCCCCGTCACCTGGAAAGGGCCCCTCCTGCCCTGCTCACTCGTCACCCTCTCTGCAGCTCCAGGCAGCTGGCGGTTTTCCGCCATCGTGGGTGTGCCCTTTCTAGAATTTCGTAGAACATGGATGTGTGCGGTCCGTCATCCTCAAGGCCGGATCGTCCACTAGGCTCTCGTGCGCGGCTGTGCACGGCCCATGTGCTGCCTCCTCTCCGCAAGAGCTGCTGCTGTCTGGGGCTTCCTTCCTGCCTGTGCACATTCTGGGCTTCACGTGTGATATTTAGAAAGCTTTCCTGTGGAGCTGCCACCTGTTTCCCTGCAGTTTGTGCTGGGTGCTGTGTTCTGGATGGATGCACTGGCTGAAGCCGGGTGCCTCACGTGGCTTCGTGGCTGTCTGTGTGCTTCTCCCATGCTCTGCTTATCCCCTGGGGGGCTGGCCTTCCCTCAGTGGTGGCCACAGATGCCACCCCCAGAATCATCAGTGATATCTCACGTTGTTGCCGAAGCTGTTTCCCCCGTCTGTCTGTCCCTCTTTCCCCTGGCTGGTGGGGGGCGTGGCTTCTGATGTGGGTGTGTGTGGGGGTTTCATGGCTGGGTCACACTTAGCAGGTCGGCGTTGGAAGGTCACGGAGGTCCTCGCCCGACTCACTCCTTCCTCTTCTGGGGCTGCTTTGCGCCAGCGGAAGTCCACGTTGAGATAAAGTTCCGGGCCTGACCACGCGTCCTCTTTGCCCGCCATGTGGAAGGCTGCTGTGGTGTGCGGTGTTGGCTGCCACGCGCTGTCTGTGACGAACCCCTGGTGTGTCCCACGCAGGAAACAGAAGGAGCTGGAAGAGCTGGAGCGAGAGAGGAAAAGGGAAGAGAAGCTGCGTAAGAGGGAGCAGAAGCAGCGGGAGCGTGAGCTGCGCCGCAGCCAGAAGAGGCTGGAGAAGCTGCAGGCGGAGGAGCAGAAGCAGCTGCAGGAGAAGATCAGGCTGGAGGAACGCAAGCTGCTTCTGGCCCAGAGGAACCTGCAGTCCATCCGGCTCGTTGCCGAGCTGCTCAGCAGAGCCAAGGTACCCGCCGCCGGGCCCCCGCAGCCAACAGCCGCTTCTCCCCTAACACGTGGGTGCTGTTATGGTGCGGTCTCCCCGCTGGCCGCCTCTGCACACAAACCAGCCTTGATGCCGAGGATGGCAGCTCCTGCCCAGTAAGGCTGAGGCAGTCCTCTGTCGTGCCAGATGGTGTCAGAGCTTTTGCAAAGCTGGTGCATCTCAGTTCCCCAGGTGCAGACTGGCCGCCTCCAGGGGGGCCGGGGCAGAGGCTGTCCGTCTTCTTTGGTTCAGGGTGGTGGCACAGAGTGCAGAGGCCACTCTGGCCTCTATCCTGGTGTGTGGTCAGCTGGCGTAGCTGTGACCTCCCCAGTGGCCCAGAGCAGAAGGGCAGGGCAGGCTGGGCAGAGGGCTGGGCACTTAGAGGCCTACAGCGGGCTGGGTCCCACCTCCACAGTGTGAGCCTGCAGGTCTCCCCAGAGCCAGTACTCAGGATCCCTCAGCGCTGAGAGCCTCCTTGCCCCTCCTACACGGGGGACTGGTAACCCCCATGAGCCCACGGCAAGGGCTCACAGGCGGCCAGGCAGACCTCCCCAGACAGACCTCGGGAGCAAGCTCAGTGTCCCTAGGAGGGCTGCATCCCCCTGCAGTCCAGTGCAGGGCCACCCCATAACCTGTTGTCTGATTACAGTTGTGATAAGTCCCCGGGAAGGAGTCTGACAAGAGGTGAGACGTGGCAGCCCAGTCCTTTCCTCATGGTGAATATTGAAGACACTAATCCAGGCTAGGCCGGGCTCGCCCCGTGCGGCGGCCACGCGTGTGTCTGCGGCGTCCTCTCAGCTCCCTGTTGCTGGCGGCCGCTTGTGACCTAACTGCAGGCGCCTGTGTGCGACATGGCTGGGGACCCCGCGGCAAGGCCTGGCTCTGCCCCAGAGGCCCGTCCCGGGGCAGCACCTAGTCGCTTCGCCAAGGGGTTTCCTTGTCACTCAGAGGTGTGATGGCCCAGCCGTGGCCAAGGGAGCTGAGGGATGGACAGGCAGGACCTGGCTCAGGAGATGCCTCCACCCCGGAGCTGGAGTCCAGCCACACGGCTGCCCCTGCAGCCCCGACTACGGGGCCTGCAAACACCTGCGCAGCTCCTCTCCCGGCGTCTAGTGTGCTCCAGACCGTAGCTCAGCGGCGCTTTCCTCTTCCCTGCAGGCGGTGAAGCTCCAGCAGCAGGAGCGGAAGGAGGAGAAGCTGCGGCTGCAGCAGCAAGAGGAGCGGCGGCGGCTGCAGGAGGCGGAGCTGCGGCGCGTGGAGGAGGAGAAGGAGCGCGCGCTGGGGCTGCAGCGGAAGGAGCGGGAGCTGCGCGAGCGGCTGCTGAGCATCCTGCTGAGCAAGAAGCCGGACGATGCCCACGCGCACGACGAGCTGCTGCAGCCCGTGCTGGACATCCTGCACACCGTGTCCTCCGGTTGTGTGGGCCCCGCCACGCCGCACCCCCTCGCGGGCCAGCCCCCGGCCGGCGCCCCCAGGGAGACACTGACCCTCGTGGAGGCTGATGGCGCTCCCAAAAGCGTGAACGGGAGCGTGGCCGAGGATGCCCCGGGCAACGAGGGTCAGAGCGCTTGTTGCATGGCCCCCGAGGATGGATCCCCGGAGAAGAGGTGCCCTGGCGTCCTCTCCTGCATCCCCGACAACAACCAGCAGCCCAAGGGCCTCCCCGCCTGCGAGCAGAACGTCTCCAAAAAAGACTCCTGTTCGGAACAGGACAAGTGCAACCGAGAGCCCAGCAAGGGCCGGGGCCGGGCCGGCGGAGACACGCTCGTCGAGCGGCACAAGCGTGACAGGAGCCGCGCCAGCCGGGAGGACGGGAGGCCGCGCAAGGAGCGGCGGACCCACAAGAAGCACGTGCACAAGGACGGCAGCCCCCGCCGGCGCAGCGACAGTGCCGACCATGCGCGTACCCGCAGGTCCCACAGCAAAGACAGGCACCGCCGGGAGCGCAGCCGGGAGCGCAGGGGCAGCACCAGCAGGAAGCGCAGCCGCCACCGCCGCAGGAGCGAGCGCTCGCGCTCCCGGTCCCCGAGCAGGCACCGTAGTGCCTGGAACAGGTAATGAAGGCCCATGGCCTCCGCACGGCCTGTCCCGCGGAAAGACAGGAGCAGCTCCAGCGCCCTGGCTCCTCCTCCTCCTCCTCCTCCTCCTCCTCCACTCTCCGTCCAGCCCTGCAAAGCCAAGACCTTTCTGCAGCCACGAATGTCCAAGAAGCCCGCCGGCAAGAAGGATGACGCCATTGAGCGCTCATCTTCCTCCACCGCCGCAAGCTTGGCGCTTCGGTTCTGCACACCCGCCCTTAAGAACTCGATCCGATAGCTTTAACACGGCCAGTCCTCGCTGTCAGGAAAACCACGCATACCTGCTGTTGTGAGGATGGCAGAGCTGCTGTGTTCCCCGCACACGTGAGGTTTCTGCGGTAGCTCGGCGACCTGCCGCCGCGCACAGCTGAGGATGTGCAGGCGACACAGGAGGCAGCGGAGAGTCGCCAAAGGACTGGAGCAGCAGATACCGGGCACCGAAAAGAGGCCTCACCCTGGTGATTTACCCCTGATTGTAATTTTGACTGTCTGAGAAGTGCAGTTTGCGTGGGGTGCCGAAATGTGGTACCATCACATTGAGTCAGGGATGAGGAAGGCGCAGGTCCTTCAAGATCAAACTCAGGCGCTGCTCCTTCTAAGGTGTCGGAGGGGGCAGTGCTGCCCACGGTCTGATGCTCCTTAACATCAGACACATGCACTTTTTACAACTTGAAGGAATTTAGCAGAAAACAGGTTGGTTCGAAGCTTTGGTTTCTAGTAAAGGTTAGTGTGCGTGTGTGTTTTTTTAAGAAGCTGTTTGGCTTAATTATTTTTACTGGAATGTTTCACACAGATTTAAGGCTGCAAACTTGTAAAGTTTTACAATCAGCTCCTCAAAGCCAGGCTCAGAAACACTTAAACACATCTGTAACGTTCGCGGTCGGAAAGATGGTGTTTATTCCAATTTGCATTTTTATGGTGAAGTAAAATCTTTTTCCAGTGAGCTAAAGTTACGATCTTTGTGTTTTTCTGTTCCTTGGAGTCCCTTGTTGAGGTAAAGGTAGCCAAGGGCGTCTCACACCAATAGAAATCGTGGGCGTTTCCCAGAACTGCTGAGTCATGATTATCGCACACTTTTTGCCGTCTGTACTGAAAATACACGAAAGGGGCCAGGTGTGGCAGGCGCCTGTAATCCCAGCTACTCAGGAGGCTGAGGAAGGAGAATCGCTTGAACCCGGGAGGTGGACGCTGCAGTGAGCCGAGATCACGCCACTGCACTGCACTCCAGCCTGGTGACAGCGTGAGACTCCGTCTTGGTCCTAAGAGGCGTCTTAGGATGTTCTTTGCTGAGAACTATCAAGTTAGCAAAGCTCGAAAAGCAGGTTTAAACGATGTTCTTTTTCCCGCCTGAAGTGTGGTCACAGGTAGTGTACATGCCGCCTGCTTAACCTGAGCGGGGTGGAATAGTCCCTTCCGCTGTGGAATTAAAACACAAACCTTCCGCCAGGTGATGCCTCATGCCTGTCATCCCAGCACTTTGAGAGGCCGAGGAGGGTGGATCACTTCAGGTCAGGAGATCGAGACCAGCCTGGCCAACATGGCAAAACCCCGAAATAGAAAACTGGCATGGTGTGGTGGTGGGTGCTTGTAATCCCAGCGAGTCTGGTGGCTTAGGCAGGGGAATCGCTTGAACTCGGGAGGTTGAGGTTGCTGTGAACTGAGATCGCGCCACTGAACTGCAGCCTGAGTGACAGGGGACTCCATCTCAGAAAGAAAAAAAAACCTTGATGATTGGAGGTCTGGACACGCGCCTCTCCAACCCCCAATCTCGTATTACTAGCGGATGAGGGCTGCAGAGACAGCCTTTCTTTCAGATGGCTCTGTCCTTTCTGCCCAGAAGCTGACTGGAAACATGGGCCCCTCACAGTTCTGTGCATCTGTGTCAGTTTGCACAGCCCGGTCCTGAGTTTCTGCCTGTTCAGCGGCTGTAAGAATGTCACAAGGGCCGAGTGCGGTGGCTCACACCTGTCATCCCGGCACTTTGGGAGTCCAAGGCAGGCGGATCTCACCTGAGGTCAGGAGTTTGAGACCAGCCTGGCCAACATGTTGAAACCCCATCTCTACTAAAATTAACAAAAAATTAGCCAGGCGTGGTGGTACACGCCTGTCATCCAACCCAGCTACTCAGGAGGCTGAGGCAGGAGAATCACTTGAGCCCGTGGTCTGGAGGTTGCAGTGAGCTGAGATTGCACCATTGCAGTCCAATCCAGGTGACAAGAGTGAAACTCCCATCTCAAAAACAAAAGGGCTGGGTGCGGCGACTCATACCTGTAATCCCAGTACTCTGGGAGGCCGAGGTGGCAGATCATGAGGTCAGGACTCCAGATTTCATAGAGGGATCCACTCTGGACTTTATAGACAGATCCACTCTGACTTTATAGATGGATCCACTCTGGACTTATAGATTGATCCAGTCCAGACTTAATAGACGGATCACTCTGGACTTTATAGACAGATGCACTCCGATTTTATAGATGGATCTACTCTGGACTTTTTAGATGGATCCATTCCGACTTTATAGACGGATCTACTCCAGACTTTATAGACGGGTCCACTCTGGACTTTATAGACAGATCCACTCTGACTTTATAGATGGAACCACTCTGACTTTATAGACGGATCCACTCTGGACTTTATAGACGGATCCACTTTGGAATTATAGATTGATCCACTCTTGACTTTATAGATGGATCCACTCCAGAGTTTATAGACAGATCCACTCCGGATGGACTTTATAGACGGATCCACTCCGGACTTTATAGACGGATCCACTCTGGACTTTATAGACGGATCCACTCCGGACTTTGAGACGGATCCACTCTGGACTTATAGATTGATCCACTCTGGACTTTATAGATGGATCCACTCCAGAGTTTATAGACAGATCCACTCTGGATGGACTTTATAGACGGATCCACTCCGGACTTTATAGATGGATCCACCCTGGACTTTATAGATGGATCCTCTCTGACTTTATAGACAGATCCACTCTGGACTTATAGATTGATCCACTCCAGACTTTATAGACGAATCCACTCTGGACTTTCAGGGTGAGAAGCAGGGGGACTGTAAGCTGGGTGTGTGATGAGGCTGGGGGCTTGTGGCGGCCGGCATCCCCTGTGGCATTCTGGTGGACTGGCGGGTTGATGGGAAAGGAGAAGGTGGCAAAACTTGAATGCCTGTTGCCTCGTGATACATTGGATGCAGGCTGTCTAGACGAGCTGCAGAGCACCACCCTTAGGCCTATAGCAATGGGCGAGGTGGCTCACGCCTGTAATCCCAGCACTGTGGGAGGCTGAGGTGGGTCGTGAGGTCAGGAGTTCAAGACCAGCCTGACCAAAATGCTGAAACCCCATCTCTACTAGAAATACAAAAACACTAGCCGGGCGTGGTGACACATGCCTGTAATCCCAGCTACTTGGGAGGCTGAGGCAGGAGAATTGCTTGAATTCGGGAGGCGGAGGTTGCAGTGAGCCGAGATCGCACCACTGCACTCCAGCCTGTGTGAGAATCCAAGAATCCATAAAACCAAACCAAACAAAAAAACCCATCCACGATAGATTTGAATTCCACCCGGCAGAACAGAGAAGGAATGGTTATTCCACAATAGGAGAAAGTGTGATTCTCTGATTCATACCTTTTATGAGGCTTACCTCTGAACCGGCTTGCTTCTGTTCAGTTGAGATCTTAGGGTCTCTTTTGGTAAAAAGAAAAAAAAAAAAATCAAACTTCTGCCTGGGTGCGGCAGCTCACGCCTGTAATCCCAACACTCTGGGAGGCTGAGGTGGGTCACGACGTCAGGAGTTCAAGACCAGCCTGACCAACATGCTGAAACCCCATCTCTACTAGAAATACAAAAATACAAAAACACTAGCCAGGCGTGGTGACTCGTGCCTGTAATCCCAGCTACTTGGGAGGCTGAGGCAGGAGAATTGCTTGAATTTGGGAGGCAGAGGTTGCAGTGAGCTGAGATTGTGCCACTGCACTCCAGCCTGAGACTCTGTCTCAAAAAAAAAAAAGAAAAATGAGACTTCCCTGTTGAGTGCGGCGTGTGTCATGGTGACCGTCCAGGCCTCCTTCCATGTTTTCACCTGTGAGTGCCCCCCCAATATTGAGGTGGCCTGTGTCATGGCGACCATTCTGGGGTTCTTCTGTGTTCCTTTTTTGCCCCCACCCCCTATTGAGGCTGCCCCTGTTATGGTTTATCTTTCTCATGTTGGCCATAAACTCTCCTGCCCTTGGCCTTCCTAGTGTCTGCTTTTCTTTTCTTTTTCTGACTCCGAGTCTCACTCTGTCACCGAGGCTGGAGTGCACTGGTGGCATCTTGGCTCACTGCAACCTCTGCCTCCTGGGTTCAAGCGATTCTCCTGCCTCAGTCTCCTGATTAGGTGGGATTACAGGCATACGCCACCACGCCCGACTAATTTTTGCATTATTAGTAGAGACAGGGTTTCCCAGTGTTGATTGGGCTGGTCTCGAACTCCTGATTTCGTGATCTGCCCACCTCAGCCACCCAAAGTGCTGGGATGACAGGCGTGAACCACTGCCCCAGGGCAAGAGTGTATTTCTCCTGCTGGCCTCTGGTGAAGGGACGGAGGCAAGACATTGTCAGTCCTGGGATATTTGGTGGCCTAGGGAGACCACCGCGTATCCTGGGAATGCTCCTTAGAGAGGCCTCTTTGAGGCGCTGTCTTGTGGGTCTAGAGCTGCAGGGACTGAGGGGAAATGAGGAACCAAGGAACTTTTAGCCAAGGCTCGGAGAAGACCTGTGCGATACACCTGCAAACTCTGTTTCTATTTTATTTTTTGTGTTTAGTTTTGAGATAGAGTCTTGCTCTGTCACCCAGGCTGGAGTGCAGTGGCGCCATCTCGGCTCAGTGTAACCTCCGCCTGCCGGGTTCAATCCATTCTCCTGCCCCAGCCTCCTGAGTAGCTGGGACTACAGGCACCCACCCACCACCATGCCCAGGTAATTTTTGTCTTATTAGTAGAGATGGGGTTTCACCATATTGGCCAGGCTGGCCTCGAACTCCTGACCTCGTGATCAACCCACCTCAACCTCCCAAAGTGCTGGGATGACAGGCCTGAGCCACCGCACCTGGCCCATGTTTTAAAGCTTTATGTGTTATTATAGATTTAGGGCATAGAAATGCGGTTTTGTCACCTTGGAGGCCGTGACACACAGAACGGCAAATGCAGCCTGTTCTCACTTATGAGTGGGCGCTGAATAATGGGTCCATGTGGGCACAGAGACTGTCACCATAGACACATGACTGCTTTTTCTACATGCACCCGTATCTCCGCTCTCCTTCCAGCTGGAATTGCAGAATGGCCAGGCATGGTGGTTCATGCCCGTAATCCCAGCACTTTGGGAGGCAGGTGGATCACCTGAGGTTGGGAGTTCGAGACCAGCCTGGCCAACATGGTGAAACCCTCTCTCTACTAAAAATACAAAAATTAGCTGGGTGTGGTGGCATGTGCCTGTAATCCCGGCTACTGGGGAGGCTGAGGCAGGAGAATCACTTGAACCCCAGAGACGGAGGTTGCAGTGAGCCGAGATCGTGCCACTGCACTCTAGCCTGGGGGACAGAGCAAGACTCTGTCTTTAAAAAAAGTAAAAAAAAAATATTTCAAAAGTGTCAATATGGCATGAACTGCCGTTAATTCCTTCATGTGTACTGTTGAAATGGATGAATATGGTTGTCAGAACGCTATGGTTCAAATTCCATGGGCCCCCAGCTGACAGATGAAGCAAAGGTATTTTGAAACATCATCTATTCTATGTGTAAAATGCACTGTGCATTTTTGAAACATTTTAGATGAATATTACACATGCATACGGTGGTTCATGCCTGTAATCCCTGCACTGTGGGAGGCCAAGGCGGGCGGATCACAAGGTCAGGAGTACAAGACCAGCCTGGGCAACATAGCAAGACCCCATCTCTGCAAAAAT